CACACACACACACACACACACACACACACACATACACACACAGAAATACACACTCACTCACTCACTTTCACACACACACACACACAGACACAGACACACACACTCACTCACTCACATACACACTCACAGTCACACACACACACACACACACACAGACACTCAGAACACACACACACACACACACACACACACACTCACTCACTCACTTTCTCACACACACACACACACACACACACACACACATACACACACAGAAATACACACTCACTCACTCACTTTCACACACACACACACACAGACACAGACACACACACTCACTCACTCACATACACACTCACAGTCACACACACACACACACACACACACACACACACACACACACACACTCACTCTCTCACACACACACACACACACACACTCGCGCACACACACACACACACACACTCGCACACGCACTCAGACACACTCGCGCACTCGCACACACACACACACTCACACACAGGTTTACATTTGTACACTGTGTGTGTGCAGGGCGTGCTGCTGGTGTATGACATCACTAACTCTCAGAGTTTTGAGAATCTTGAAGATTGGCTGAAAATGGTGAGAAAAGCCAGCGAAGAGTCCGACACCCAGCCGGCGATATCACTGATCGGAAACAAGAGTGAGTACAAACAGCATGCTGTGTAATATTTACATTAATATGTTAAGGCACAAAATGAGATGTAATGATTACATTGAGTTATTTGCTCATCCAGAGGCCAGATTCACAACAATCTTCTTCTTTCTAAGAAGTTTGAAAGGATGTTTCTAAGTGTAATTGTAAAAAGTTAATTCTTAATAAATTAACTGAACATCTCATGAATGGGGAGCTGAAGGTTATCCTAACTTTAAGAAGTTGTTTACTGTATGTTTTAAGAACATTCCTGTCATCTTAACATTTTGTCCCACAAACAATCGTAAGTTCATAAAGATAAATTATATGAAGTTCACAAGAAAGTTTCTAATTGCAGTTCTTGAAAAACTCTTAATAAGTTCTTAGATATTTCCATATAAGAACATATTCATTGTTTTTTAAGAATAAAATGACAAGCTTTGGCCTTGTCTAATAAAGCAAAATCAAAACTTTACTCTTGCAGATCATAACCATATATATGTCCATCTGTTAAATAACAAACGTCTCAGGATCATTTCTTTATATCAAGAAGAAATCGTGAATCTTTCTTGGATGATTCAGAAGACGAGTCTCAATTTTGAGTGAACTTTGAGTCTTAAATTTCATAAGTTCTCAATATGACCCCAACACAAAAGTCTGTACAGCTTTTACAAAAAACATCTATGTGTTGAAACTTTGCACACACATTCATGACCCAAACTGAGAAATATCCACCAAATTTCAAGAAGAAATAAATAGTTTAACCAGTATTTTGAGCACTTCGAGTGTGGGTCAAACTGACCCCAACTCAACAGGATTGTTAAACTAGAGTTCTGTAAAGTCCTTCTCTCTGATCTACGTCTTCTGAAGAGGTGCATCTTGGATCCACAAGTAAATGGCATTATTCTTTTGAGTTCATAGAACCTATGATGCTATGTTTGCAGAAAGCACAGGTTATCTTTAATTGTTAATTTTACACAATACATGCTTTCATACGGTGAGTAAAGTCAATAAAGCCCTGAAACTGGTTGAGTTTTCTAGACTTCTGATTTTTTACAGTGTAGATCGATAATGAGCTATAAATGAAATAAATTGACTGTTTAATAACGCTGAGAGAAATCTCTCCGGCTCTTAAATCACATGAGATCTATGATCATCACAGCGCTGTGTGTGATAGATGGAATGGTTTAATCAGTGAATGTATGATTCTGACCTGTGACCTTTGACCTCTCTGATGTATGACTGACCATCTCTATTGACCCCTGTGTGTGTGTGTGTGTGTGTGTGTGGGAGCCGACGGCTCGACGGTCAGTGTGTGTGTGTGTGTGTGGGGGCGCC